CGTGAGCCCCCGTCCCCCGGTGCTGCGGTCCTCGATGCTGGAGGATCGAGCCTCTTGCACGCGCCGCCGCCGTTCTTGCCCTCGTGTCCGCGATACCTGTCCATGTACATGACCCCGCTGTCCAGAGGCCTCGGCCGCCACCCTATGCCGCGCGGGGCAGCAGTCGTTTTGTCGTCGTCGCTGCTGTCGTCAATGTCGCCCTCGGCGCTGGGGCCGTCGCCGCCTCTGCCTTTGCCGCTGTCGTCGCCGCCGTCGCTGTCGTTGCCATCGTCGCTGCCGCCGTCGCCCCCGCCGCCGCCGCCGCCGCCGCCGCCGCCGCCGCCGCCGCCGCCGCCGCCGCCGCCGCCGCCGTCGTCGTCGTCGTCGTCGTCGTCGTCGTCGTCGTCGTCGTCGTCGTCGTCGTCGTCGTCGTCGTCGTCGTCGCCGTTGTCATTTTCCCAGTCCTCGTCTTGCTTCCCTCTTTCTGCCTTGGAGCGTTGCTGAGGCGGGCAGCCACCAGGGCTTGGCTGTCGAACGAGGCCGCAGGGATGGGGTGCGTGCGGGGTGGATGAGGAGGTGGACGGGGGGACCTTTGTGCTTCCCCCAACCCTGAGGGTGGGCGTGGAAGGGGATGGCGGGGAGGGTTGGATGGGGTCGGGAGACGAGGTTTAAGGGAGGGAGAGGAGGGAGTAGAGATGGGAGGCGAGTGGGGTGGAGGGACGAGGACGGGGGATGGAAGGACTAGGACGGGGGATGGGTGATCAGGATGAGCGTGGGAGGGGAATAAAGGAGAGAGGGACAACATGGGGTGGGATAAAGGAGGAGGGGAATGGGATGGTTCCCTCCCTCCATCACTTTTTCTAAGTTGTCTTCCCTCCTCCCTGCTCCCTCCCTCCTTACTGGAATCCGCCAGGACACCCGATAGAATCTCTCTAGAACACCCTAGAACCCGCTCAAGAATCCTCGGCGTTTCGCGTATCCCCACCACTCTTGCAGGCCCGGCCTTTCCACGTCTTGGCCGTTCCGCTTTTCGGCGCCGTCGCCCAGGAGTACGAGTTCATGTGGTGCATACTGTGCCAGGTTCATGCTTCTCCTGGCCGACGTTTCCCCCCGGCGTTGCCGACCTGACTGACACTGGGCACGGTGACGTGGTGTCCACTTGTGACTGGACCTGTTTCGGCTCGCCGGCGAGCACCTGGTGCTCCGTGAGTGAAACCACCCGCTTTTCCCCCCTTTTTCGTCCCTCCGTCGCCTCGCTCCTCCTCCCCCCGCTGTTTTTCCGTCGCCCTGGTCGGCGCCTGGCGTCCTTGTGCTGGTGCATCGTCGCCACGCGCGGCTCGTCCGCTCGTTTTCCCCAATTTGCTTTGCGTGTGCACGAATTATCTGGCTCTGTGCCCCAGTTAGCCTGATTGACACGCCCTCTGGACTTTTCCTTGCGGGCCGCATAACAACAACATATCCCCACCAGTCCGTATCCCTTCTGGCTCAAGCAGTCTCGGCTCGAGCGCGCCCCTGGTCCAGGTACGCGCCGAGCTCCGTCCCCGCTGCGATGGCTCCCAGCGCTGGCGGCCTCACCTGCGCGCCCTGCGGCGGCGCCAGCGCCTGGCCGCCCAGTCCGCGACGGGCCGCCCGGCCTGGGCCCGCCCCGTGCTGCTGTTGCTGCCGCTGCCGCCGCCTCCCCCGGAGGCCGGCGGCGCCCCGGCCGCCCCTGTTGCTGACGCTGCATTGATCGTCGGGTGGCTGTAAGTGCGGTAAGAGCGTTCATCTTACATAATCTTAGTTGAGCCATAGAACGTGCACTTGTTGATCGCGCATCCCATGTGTGCATATGAAATGCTTATGGTGTTTGTAAGTGTAGATGTAAGTAATATACTATGTTAGATATCTCTGCTAAGTCGATGGGGCTGAACAGATTCGTGTTCTTGTTAATCATTTGCGTACTTGTTGTAACGGTGTTTGAAATCCCTTGGGTTTCCGACGCGTTTTTCTAAAATCTTCAGTTGTTCAGGACAGAGGCGCCGCAGGTACATGCTCTACCTCGCGGCCGCGGCGCTGCGGGCGGCCCCGCATGCCCGCGGGGAGGGGGGAGGGAATGAGGAAAATGTTTATCCATGTGACTTCGGCCCTCCCTTATCCCCCTTCCCTTCGGCGGCGTGCCGCCTTTTCCTCCGTCGCCTCGTCCTCCGTCGGCGGTAAACCGCCTTCCCCCCCCCCCATGGCGGCAATCCGCCTTCTCCCCCTCCGTCGTCCTCCGTCGGCGGTAAACCGCCTTCCCCCCCCCCCCATGGCGGCAATCCGCCTTCTCCCCCTCCGTGGCGGCAAACCGCCTGCCCCTTCTGGCGGCAAACCGCCTTCTCCTCCTCTGGCGGCAAACCGCCTACCCCTTCTGGCGGCAAACCGCCTTCTCCTCCTCTGGCGGCGAACCGCCTACCCCTTCTGGCGGCAAACCGCCTTTTCCTCCTCTGGCGGCAAACCGCCTTCTCTTCCTAATGGCGGCAAGCCGCCTTCCCCCCCCCGCCCTATCGGCGGCCTGCTTTGCCGCCTCCCTCCGCCCCCCTCGGCGGCAAGCCGCCCTCCCCCCTCCTCCCTCCCCTCCCTGGCCTCTCCTTCACTTCGCCCTCCCCCATGGCTCTCTTCTTCCCCCCCGCGCGCCCTTCGGCGCCCCCTCACCCGCCCCCCCCCCCCCCCCCTTTCGGCGCCCTCTCTCCCCCCTTGCGCCCCCCCTCGCCCGGGAGGAGGAGGAGGAGGAGGAGGGGAGGAGGAGGGGGAGGAGGAGGAGGAGGAGGAGGAGGAGGAGGAGGAGGGGGAGGAGGAGGAGGAGGAGCAGGAAGATCAGGAGTAGGATATGTCCGTCGCACGCGTATTGGCTCGAGCCGTTTTTGGCGAGCCCTCCTCCGAGGGCTTCGGGCGGCGTGCGCGCGCGGGGAGTCGCGCGCTCCGTTCGGCGCGCGGGAGCGCCGCATCGCTGCCATGGAGGGCATCCTTCGAGGCCGTATGGAGGAGGCGCGGGCGGCGTTCGTAGCGCGCGGCAGTGCGACGGAGCACCTTGCTGCCTGCATCCAGGCGGCGACGTCCCAGCGCTGGTCGCAGCTCCAGAGTGCGCAGTTTGCTTCTTTGGGCGGCGGCGTGGGGTGGGCGCAGTCCGAGTTGGGAGACTTCTTGCAGGCTCTGTCGTCGGGCAGCCTGCAGGGGAGGAAGCTCCAGAACTATGAGGGGTTCGTTGAATTTCTGACGCCTCAGTTGTGGGAGTTCGTGCTCTCGCCGCATTCGGGCTTCGCTGCCGAGATGGCGGCGTTCTCAGAGCACCTCGGGGCGCTTGGCTTGAGGCGTCCGAGCTGCCCGACGGCCGCCAATATGGCAGCATTCTTGTTGCTGGTGTGCAAGCAGACAGGCGTGGAGACGGGCGAGATCACGAGGGAGCTGTTGCAGTCATATCTGGCCACAGTGAAATCCTCGTTCAAGAATCTCGCGGCGACGATGCCGCCGCCCAGGGATGGCATCCAGGCTCTCCCCATCACGCCTGGGAGGCTCCAGTCTCAGTACCCCATCACGTACGTCGACGCCTTCCCGCCAGGTGTTGGAGCGACGGCGCCGCAGATAAATCCCGTCGAGATGGTGGCGATTGCGAAGCTGATTAATCTCCGTGCAGGGAAGAAGAGCGGCCACCTCGCGCTGCCCGCGTCTGTGCCCGCCCTCGGCGGGCTGCAGCCGTCCCACGGCCCAGGCGGCGGCCCTCCTCGGCAGCGCCTCCCCGTTGCGGCGGCCGACTCGTTCTCTGGGCGCTGGCCGACGGCTCCACGGGGAATGGCAGAACGCATTCCCCCGCGGGGCACTTGGTATTGGGTCGAGGGGTGGTGTCCTGGATCGGCGTGGGGTGCGTTTCTGGGTGCCTGGGTCGAGGGCGTGGTGTGAAATTCTGGATGCCTGGGCCCGGTTGGAGGGGGATGTGTGTGTGTGTGTGTGTGTGTGTGTGTGTGTGTGTGTGTGTGTGTGTGTGTGTGTGTGTGTGGGGGTTCAAGTGGGCGAAGCCGAGGTGGGAGATGCAGACCGCGCGCAGCTTGGCGAGCGGGGTTGAACCTCCCACCGATGAGGCGTCGGGCGCGTGCGGCGATTCCCAGCAGCTCCGCTGGGGTCGCAGCTTGCGCGCCCGCCGCCTTGCGGGCGACTGTTCATCGTTGCTCCGCCCCCCAGGTGCAGTTCCGCAGCGGCAGGATCGGCGCCCCCGGCAGCAGCGTCAGCCTGAAGTACATCGCGGGCAACGAGGCCGACAAGGCCAGATTCTCACCGACGCCCTTCTCTACGCCCTCCTCCGCGCTTTCTGCATGTTCGCCCCTGCTGTCTCGTTGCGCCCGCTCGCTCCGAGGCCGGGGCCATCGCGGAGGCGGAGGAGCTGGTCAAGAAGGAGCTCGCCGCCAGGGCGCGCGGTGAGTAATTCGCGCTGCGACTCTTCAACTCTCCGGGCCGACGGGGCGGGCTCGGGGGAACGAACAGCTCGTGGCGGATATGCCGCCTCGTGGCGGATATGCCGCCTTGTAGCTCAGCCTTCTCACCTTCCAACTCGTGGCGGATATGCCGCCCCCGCCCCGCCCCCTGGCGCCCCTCCGCCCTTCAGGCGGACGTGCCGCCGCCCCCCTCCCCTACTCGACCCACTCCGCGCCCCCGCGCCGCGTCCCTGCGCCCCCCTCTCCGCTGTCAGGCACGGGATCCCACGCAAACTAACGTCGGGGAGACGCCCACTGCTCGAACGGCGAAGGCGTTCACCCAGAATGGCCTGGGCGCGCGCGAAGGTACTGACGTTGCCACCGCCCTTTTAACGACGAAAACAAGTGAACCAAGACCTGCACATTCAAAGGGACGTCGGTTCACATATATTTCTGCTGCCCAGTGCCACCCTCGCTCTGCCAGAACCCCCCCCCCACCCCCCACCCCCCCCCTCACCCGAGACCCCGTCGCAAGAACCAGCGGTGCCCTTCTGCGAGGCTCCCGAGGGCTCGAGGAGCTCCAAGACTTCAATGGGTCCATGGGCAACCCCCTCCCCCTCCTCCCGAAGTCTCGCTTCCGCGTCCGATTCCACTTCGGTTCAAGCCCGCGGCCCGCGGGTGCCCGCGAGCTCGCGCGGGGTCGGCCCCCCCTTTCGCGCCGACGCGGGGGCTGGGGCCCGCGCGCCGAGGCTGCGCCGCAGCCACCGCGTCGCGCTCGGCGCCTCGCACTGCGGCCGCGGCCATGGCAGACAGCGGCAGCGCGTTCGACGCGTTGGAGGCAGCTGCATCGCCAAAACAAGTGGCCCCGCGTGCGGTCGCCAGGGACGCGCGCATCGCGCGCGAAACTGGCTGGCCGCTCTCGGTCGAACTGTTTTGGCGATTCGGCGCAGGAGATGTTCGGGCCAGCGATGCAGTTGCTCTCCGACCTTGCGGGCGTGGACAACAACGCAGGGGATCGGTCTTCCTCCGCCAGCGGCAGTCAGCCAGCCAGCGCGCCCACGTTGGCGGCGCAGCCAGCGCGATCGCGCAGCCCGCGGGCACCGAAGACGCCGCCGCGC